GCACACACACACACACACACACACACACACACATCCTCAGATCTTCAGGAGAAGAACAGCCGGGGCACGTTTTTATTGGGAGGGGATTGAGCTCCATCTCAACAGATCAATGCTGTTAGCGTTAGAGTGAGTACATTTGTAGTTATCTGTCCCCGTGGTTTTATGCACCCCGCATAATTTAGCCAAATTATCGATTTTTGCATAATTTCTGATAGTTTTCCTTTATCATTCTTTGTTAAAATTAACAGAATCGAAAAATTTCACTTTTTGGGCTCAGTTTGCATAATTTCATTTTTTTGTCGTTGTTGTTGCTTAAAACAATGGGGACAGAGTTATACGGGGTTCTTGTCCGGTCAGCAAACAGTGGTCAAAACTTTACACCTGTCAGTTGCTATCCTGTCTGATAATGGCACGCGTCAGTCCTACTTATCCATAGCTACAAGTGCTCATAGGACCATTGTTTGATCTATTAAAAACAGGATTGCACATCTCTTCAGCGTCTTCTACCCTTAGCCCCATCCATCGTTGTAACAATCACAGTCAACCAATGCCATCCATTCCGTGCATGTAACAATGATTCGAGGAATTATTTTCTTGGCTGCCTTTACGATCAGGGCGGCAGGCATGAGTCAAACTAATTTCACACCTCCGGACTCTAGCTACCCAGGTAAGTTTCCCTATTGGAGCGACACTCGAGCATTTTCCCAAGCAATGGTGAGAAACTGAGATTTCACACCACACCACCCTGACTCTGCACTTCAAAGTAGGGCTCACATCTAGGCTATCCTAGTAAGTAAGATAGCCTAGATTGTAGCCTCTCCAAATTATACTAACTCTGAGCGTCTAGATTCTAGATTGTACCCGAGGAGGTTTAAGGCTGTCCCCGTGGTTTTATGCACCCCGCATAATTTAGCCAAATTTGATCATTTTTTGCATAATTTCTGATAATTTTCCTATATCATTCTTTGTTAAAATTAACAGAATCGCATAATTTCACATTCTTTGGGCTAAGTTTGCATAATTTCAGAATTTATCTTGCATATAATGACGGGGACAGGTAAGGTCCTTTGTACAATGTACCCCATCCATGTGAGCCCTGAACGGTTTAAACGATCAGGGTGGTGTTGGCGTGAAATATGACCACTGCCTGTGAAAGTGCTTGAGTGGCGCGCCAGCGAGGAAAGTTTCTAGGGTGGTCAGAGGCCAGAGGTGTGAAATTGGTTTGACCAGTGCCTGACGCTCTGATCGTACGGCCAGCCGAGGAAAAAGTTCCTCAAATCGTTGTTAGAACACATGCGCGGGGGAGGTGGCATTGGTTGGCTGAGCTTATTACATCGATGGGTGGGGAGATCAAACGTTGGTCCAATGAGAAGCCAGCACTGGTGGCAATATATGGAGAGACTGACACCTGTCATTATCAGAGAGGCTCGGAATAGGATAGCACTTGAGAATGAGAGGTGTGAGGCTTTGACCACTGCTTGCCCACCAGACAAGTGACCCCTGATCCCACCGGCTGGAACACC